CACACACACACACACACACACACACACACACACAGTGTCACACACAGTGTCACACACACTTGTGGACATACTGATCTCATTCGGAATCAGCGTCGCAGCCCTCATCCTCAGATGGCTGTTCGCTGCAGTCAGCTGATTCCGGGTCATCCTCCACGACCGTCTTGCGCTTGAGGCGCTGTTTCTTTTTTTTAACCGGTGTAGTGGCCGTGTCGGTCTTCTGCTTTCGCGGTCTGCCACGAGGACGTTTCGGCTGTGCAGGAGCGTCCTGTGATGGCTCCTTTCTCTTCCTGCCCACTCGGCTCACCCACAGGTTAGACTGCTGTCGCTGTGGGATGGGGCTCGTCTTCACGGGCCGTATCGACCTCGCCGTGCTGCATCTTCTGCTGCGCCAATCCTTCCCCCTCCTCTTCCTGCTGCATTTCCTCTTCCTCCCCGCCTTGCACCGCGCCTTCCTCTTCTTCTTGGTGCTCCATCTCCTCTATCTCCTGTGGTTGCACCATGCCCTCTGCCTCTTCTTCCTGTTCCATGTAATCTCCCACCTCAGCCTGGTGCTCCTCCTCCTCTTCTCCTTCTTTCTCAACCTCCAATGCCTGATTGATCTGCTGTTGGTGCTCCCTGGCTTGTTTGAGACCTCTCTCGATCTCTCTCCGGGTCGGGATAGCTGCACGGCGGGCCTCCTCCATCATACGTTTGTTGACGAGTTCGGTCTCCCGGTCAGCCATAGCCTTGGCACGGTTTGCATCCTCCTCATCTTCGTCCACCCTCGTTTCCAGCAACGTCTCGACATCCGTCTCTAGTCGTGCGAACTCGACATCAGATTGCGGATTGTACAATGCAGTTTCCCTTACCTCGGGCTCCGTCGCTGTCGGGCGTGGCTCTTCTCTACGTTGTCGTCTGGTCCACCTCCTTCCGATGTACGTCGTGCCTGGGACGGACGGCTCCGGTCGTAGCTCGAAATCGGAGTCATCGTCGTCATCCTCTTCGCTGCCACTCGAGTCCTCCGACAATCCGCACTTCCCCTTCCACAGCTCGTCATCCAAATCACTGTCATCCGTGAGCTCTTCGTCCTTGTCCTCGAGATTTTTTGGAACCCTTCCCTTCGAAGTCTTTGTGAGTCTCCGTTCCCGTACAAGTTCCTCCTCTGTCTTCTCAGCCTCATCCTCGGGCCCCTTCGACACCGATCCATCGTTCTCTTCAGGCTCCGGGGCGGGCTCGACGAAGTCACACCACAAGTCCACAAATCCGTTGTTCTTAGTCTCCGGAACACGCAGTAGCTGCATGTTCCAGTGTATGTACACTAGCTTCGCCAACCTTTCTGGCGACAACTTGTTCCTCCGTTTGGAATGGATGTAGTCCATGGAAGCCCAGTTCCTCTCCGCCGGCGATGCGGTGCTCCACATGCCTATAACCTTGATCGCAACCTTCTGCAATTCGGGCACGTCGCCACCGTGTGCTGCCCACAATTCTGACGGTGTCTTCTTGTCAACATCTGCCTTCGCTGTAGGGTCCCACATCTTCGTGTCATTCCTTTTCGGGTCGTTCCTTGTGGGTTTGGTGTGGAACTCATTCAGGTCACTCCAAATGTCAAGGTGCGCTTGCCCTTTCCATTCACCTCCAACCTGCCTCGAGAGAAAGCGCATGGTATTCTGCACAAGCGCACTATCTTGGTCATGCAACCACCTCGGTTCTCTCCTGCGCGGGTCCAAAAGAAAGGCTGTTGCATGGGCGGGCTGCCGCATCATTTTCATGCGATCTTTGACTTTCTCCATCACGCTCGCCCGCTGCTCCACCGTAAGAACGACATGGCTAAGATTCCTCTCTATCATGTCGTCATACTCGACAAGGTTTGTGGGACCGGTACCGTCCTGATCCATCCGCCTCAAGAGGCCGTACACGGGCTCCATCACCTCAACCACCTTGTTCAACCCCGTCCACCACTCATCACTCCTCAATGTGAAGTACACCAGATCCAATATGGCCCTCAACTTCGACGTGGACCATCGGATCGCATTCCACTTTACTGCATTCCGACCGTTGACCATGTCCTTCAACACCGCCCTCCTGTCGTATATCCTCTCCAACATTTGGTAGACTGACCCGAAGCGCACCTCCGTTGGCCGAAGAAGAGACAGCGAATCGTCCACTGTCATCATCAGACTGTTTGTGGTGATTTCTGATGAACTTGACGATTGTGTGGCCCCTCTTAACGGTGTGCTTCACCCAATCGAGTTTGCTGAGGTCGCGCAAGAGAAGGCTGCAGCAATGCGCAGCGCAAGGAAGCCACGGAATCCTTGCTACCTCCTTGTCCGTTCGTCGCTCTAGGATCTGAGCCGCCCTTTTGTTGACCTCCACGTTGTCAGTGCAGATCGCATTGATTCCACGGAGTCCGATTTCCCTCATGATCTGCTCCCAAAGTTTCGCCAATGCAGGTTCGGTCTTCTTCCTCCCGGACATTTACATCGTCGCCACCAAAACCGCCCCATCCACCCCAGCTGCCAAGAAGTTCATCACGGGCCTCTCCCGACGATCACTCGATCCGTCTGATGAAAGTACACCCGCTCACATCCCAACAAGTCGTCAACGGCTCCACCGTCTTCTACACTCGCATGTACACAATGCCCAACATGACGGTCCTCATGTGGTTGAAGGAGGGCAGTTTCACCTGCGGTCTTGACTTTGCCACCTGCAGGTACACTTCATGGAGCTTCTGGGTGGTATTGAAGTTCAGGAAGTTGAACGGGATCCCAACACGAAACATGGCCTCCGCCCATGCAATGTCCAGTTTCTTCTGCGCATCGTTGTCCACCCACCTCCTTATTGTTGACTGCTACAATGAGGACAACCGTGTTCGACCCCGCCGCCTCACCCCCCGCCGCCTCCAAAGCATTCTCCTTGTGCAAATCCCCTGCATCACATGGTGGAGCAGCCCTGCCCACAGTGGGCGGTGGCTGTGGCTCAAGGTATGCGGGAACTTCAACCACCTCGTCGGCCTTCTCCGTTTGATTGACCCCCCCTTTCGGAATCCCGTGCAGCTGCCTGTAATTCTTCAGCAAGTACCGCGTATTCTTATCACCCGGCAGCACTTTCCCCCCGGAGTTGACGAGCTCATTCACCATTTCCCCTGTGCGCGATGGACACGGCTTCTGCGTCTTCAAGTAATGTTCCACTACTCTTGAGCTCGTGCCCCTCCAAATCTGCATGCACAACCGACACCTCACCCAATACTCGCCTCTCCCTTTCACCCCAGCTTCCTGACCCTGTTCTGCGTACTTCCACACAGGCTTCTCCCTCTGCAACTTGTCCTGCCTCGCCTTGTCTTGTGGAACGAACAGCGAAGGGTCCATTGCCGGCGTGGGGTCTTTGGAGGTCACTGTGGATGTGGGTGTAGTGGAGGTGCTTGCAAGTTTTTCTTTTCCTTTTTCTGCTGCCGTTTTGCCCCTCCTCCGTCCAGACCCGCCACTCCCCCCTCCAATGTCGCTGGCACCGCCCGCCATAGTGTCGTGGAAGTAGAGGATGCAAGGACAACCAGCGAGGGAAAAAACCAAGTTCAAATATCGGAAGAAGAAGAAGAAGAAGAAGAAGAAGAAGAAGAAGAAAGAAGTAGTAGAAGAAGAAGAAGACTTAGAAGGAGAAGAAGAAGAAGTAGAAGAAGAAGAAGAAGAAGAAGAAGAAGAAGAAGAAGAAGACTTAGAGAAGAAGAGAAGAAAGGAGGAGAAGGTGGCGAGAAGAAGACGAAGGGAGGGGGAGGAGGAGGAGGAGAGAAGAAGACGACGGGAGGGGGAGTAGGAGAGAGAGGAGGAGGAGGAGCAAGAGGAGGAGGAGGAAAACCTGCCGATTTTGAGTTGCGTTGACGGAAAAAAAAAAAAAAAAGATGACGAAGGAGGAGGAGGAGGAGGAGGAGGAGGAGGAGAGAAAGAGAGAGCTCTGGACACGTGGCAGTTCTATTCACACTGCTTCTGCCACATGGCACTTAGCCTGCTGAAGAAAACCAATGAAATAGAAAGGAGGAGAAAGGAGGAGGAGAGAAGAAGGCGAAGGGAGGGGGAGGAGGAGAGAGAGGAGGAGGAGGAGGAGGAGAAAGGAGGAGACAAGAAGATGAAAGGAGGAGGAGGAGGACCTGCCGATTTTGAGTTGAGTTGACGGAAAAAAAGAAAAAAAAAAAGATGACGAAGGAGGAGGAAGAGGAGGAGGAGGAGGACAGAGGAAGACGAAGGGAGGGGGAGGAGGAGGAGGAGGAGAGAAGAAGAAGGGAGGGGGAGGAGGAGAGAGATGA